AACCAATCTGGGGTTGGAGACGCGGATTTCGCAACATGTTCCCGCCTATTTGCGTTCAAGTTGTCGAAGAACTACTCAAGCAGACCACGGATTCGTCGATTGGACAGAATCGGGTTTCAGTGACGGAGAGGTAACAAACCAGACTCCATTTAGCGCCAACTCTTCCCAAATTCCGTCGTGTGACTCATCCAAGTCTACTTATACCAATGGACTGTACTAATCCCCATCTGAGTAACGTCTTATATAACAGAAACACAGAAACAGACCCCTAATCTGCTCCATCTAAAGCACTACAACAAAAAACGTTTGCCAGTTCAAGCAGTGAACCACTACAACATATTTTCCTTTATATATATATATATATATATATATATATATATATATTTTTTTTTTTGAATTAACTGATTTAAAATATGGTTTCTTCTCTACACAAGAATTACCATGTTTCAAAAACTTCAAATTTAATTATATAATTAAATTAAAAGCATTAGTTCCGTTTCATCTTCAAGCGAATTTTGGAATAACTTTTAAATTTACTGAGTTTTAAACGCACATACATTTCATAATTTTTTGTTTCTAATCATTTAGACAGGGGCGGTAGCATGTTCATTTTTATTAACTATTGTTGTATCAATTATGAGTTACGTTCGTAAAAGAGGTTAAGTTTAGGGATGGTTGGGGTGTATTTTTCAACGCATGTCGCCAAGGAAGGCGCATAATATCAATCCTCCTGTATGGCAGACATTTATATGTTTAGACAGTCTTGTTTTTAAAAATAATTGTCGGACTTTTTCCATTTCATAATGTATGACGTCATTTGTTTACATTTGGATACGCTTTGAGTAGATATGAGTACGTGAGAGATTCATGGATGATTGAAGTTTAAAGACAGTAAAATCGACCTTGCTAACCGAACGCTCTTCTGTTGCCCAATCGGTTAAGGCACGTCAGGCTATATGACGGTTCCGTATAGGATACAGGTTCGATTCCTGTCGGAGGATGAATATTTTCTATGAAAATTTCTTGGACATTCAGACCGGTAAATGTTGTTTAATACTGTTTATTATAAACAGAGCATTTACTTAAATATTTGTATCTATAAAAAGAACGTATAAACATAAAAATGTCTTATATATATATATGTATAGGTGGGGGTAGGTAATATTGAGAAAAAAAAGGAACGTTAAGTGGTCGGTAGGGGAGTTTTTAGAACCAAGTAATCATTTTTTATTCTTTTTCTATAAATATCTGGCAAGTATTTTAGCAGGTGACGGAAAATGTGGCACCGAAATCCAACGAAGCTTGAAAGATGCCTGGCAAAAGATAAACAAATATTAAGAAACAGGAAAATTTCGATAAAAGCAAAGACAAGAACGTTGATGTCCAATGTAATATCAATCCTCCTATATAGCGATGAAGGGTATCATTTGAAGAGGAGACTTGAGACAATGAAGATGTGGTTCTACAGAAGGATGCTGAGAATGTAATGGAACATATGAGTAATGGAGAAGTTTTAAGGGGAAAAATTAATAAAGGAAACAAAAATGGACATTTGTACGTAAAAACTGAACGGGACCATGGAAATTTGGGAGACAAAAGTAGAGGAAATGTGACTTGGAAAATGTAGGAGGAGAGGAAGTTGTGGAGAGCCATGATCGCTCACGTCTTGAAGGGGCATAGCACTTAGAAGAATGAGAGAGAGTTTGTATAAATGGTTGGCAGAACAACGCTTAAGAGAGGAAGTTGTGGAGAGCCATGATCACTCACGTCCTGACAGAACACATCACATAGAAGAAGCGAGAAAGCTTGTGGAAATGGTTTGCAGGTGGAGAGGAAGATGTGGAGAGCCATAATCACCCACGCTCTGAAGTGACAGATAAGATAGAAGAAGGAGAGAAAGAGCTTGTGTAAACAGCGATTAAGAGAGAGCAAAATGACAAAGCCCACTAATAGCTGCAAAGGATAAGAAGTTGTGGAGAGCCATGATCGTACACGACCTGAAGGGACACGGCACAAAGAATAATAATAATAATAATAACAATAAGAAGAAGAATGAGCAATTAGGAGAGACAACGAAAAGATAAAACTTTAAAGAGCTTTAAAGAGAGGTAGTCGCGGAGAGCCATGATCACCCACGTCCTGATAGTACATGGCACGTAAAAGAAGTTGCACTTGTGGCGTAATGGATAACTGCTCAGAATGTGAAATCGGAAAAACGTGTTCGAATTCCAGTCGGGTTCGTTAAATTCACTTACGCGTAAATAAATAGGTATGAATCAATCTCTTCTCCCCCAGCTATGGGTTAAATAACAGAGCAGACTGTCCCTATAGCCTTGGTTAGTGTTATAACGTCCGTCTAACACTCATAGTTGCTGGTTAGTAAGACCGTGAGGAAAAGACTGGGAGAAAAGTTTGAGCGAAGATCAGATCTAATCTCATGAGTGACGGGACTTAATAATACAGTAACAGAGAATAGCATAGTTCAGTGCGGCAATGCGTATGACTCAACGCTAGCCTTGCGACCGTTCCTATGAGCAGACGTTCTACTCATAGCGGATAGACGAGTCCATTTTTAACAATTAGTGTAGAAAAGGTCGGTCGGCTTTCTACATAACATCTTTTTTAAGATACGTAAACTCTTTGATTTTCTTCTTTTGGGGTTCATTTCCATTGGATTTCTTTTTCTTTTGCTAAAATGGTCTGTTAAATTATTATAATCGCATTTGGCAAGTCAAAAGTATCACACAGCACTTCCATAATTAAATCACTTTGTTGGTTTTTTATTTCATTGGCGTATCTGGGTTTCACCTAGTTCAAATGCCAATTTAGACTTTGTACCATAAATCCTGCCGATGCGATTTACTATTTCACCATCTTCCCAACGTTCAGTTCCGACATTGTAAACACTCCTGAAGAAAACTTTATCTCTCGCTTTAGAAAGTCTTATAACATTCGTATAACGCTCGAGGATATGGGTAATAATACTATAAGGAAACACTGGGGCAAAAGGCTAAGAGAAGAACAGGTTTAATCACATTAGAGACATAGATTAAAAATACATTCATAGAGAATATTGTAGCCCAGTGCGGCAATGCGTATGACTCAACGCTAGCCTTGCAACCGTTCCTATGAGCATACGTTCTACTCATAGCGAATAGACGAGATCATGTTTAACAATTAATGTAGAGAAGGTCGGCTGTCAACAGTTGGTAAACCGCGAAAAAAAAAAAAAGAAAAAAAAAGAAGGCAGCCCACTGCGGGAACATCTGCCTAGTCAGTCATGAATCGAATGATGATCCTGACGCCCAAGCGTGTATCGTGTATGACACTTGATTTGAATGCTAATGTTATTTTGAAACAAAAAAATAGCCTAAAAACAAGAATATGTCATAGTGTAAGTCAAAAGTCTGTTGGAGAGGAATCGTTAAAACTAATGATTTTTCATTAGGCGAGTGAGTTCGTTGTCTCTACAGGGCGCGCCAGCCAACTGTTAGACTCAGACAGCTGACATCTATAACGGCCATAACATTCTATTCTATATGTCGGTGGGGAAAAATTGATTGGTTACATTCAATGACGCCAAAACCAAAGAAGTTACATTCTCCTCTTAGTTGCCATATTTTTCACAACGTTTCGGCCGTTGTACGCTCCGGCCTTCTTCAGGTGTTTGGAATGTCGAACTGAACCCTTTATTTCGCTCAATGGGGTAGACTGTTCTAGTTCCACGTGCCATGTCTAATGGATGTCAGTTATCAGCTATCTCCTGTTAATTCACCTCTCTAAGTTCTCCACTGCCTTAACCGGGTATTGAACTCACGATGTCATTGGATCTAACTAACACCTTTATCCACTATGCCATCTGTCCTTAATGTAAATAGTGAAAATATGTGTCTTCCGGCAGGAATCGAACCTGTATCCTACACGAAACCGTCATACAGCCTGATTTGCTATACCATTTAGCTACAGAGGAAGCGTCTGGTTTTCTATGATATATGTCATGATATATGTCATATATATATATATATATATATATATATATATATATATATATATATATATATATATATATATATATATATATATATATATATATTAAATGGAGTGAGTCCGACAATTATTTTAATATATTTATAATTTATACGTTATCTTTTTTAGGTAAAGTATTTAGGTAAATGCACTGTTTATAATAAACAGTATTAACAACATTTACCGGCCTGAATGTCCGATAAATTTAACCGAAAATGTGTGTCTGTCTATATTTCAGAGATGAGATATTATGTACACCATTTACATTATTCGGACTATTGTCCTCATCTTTGTTACCATAGTTATCACAACGTTTCGGCCGTTGTACGCTCCGGCCTTCTTCAGGTGTTTGGAATGTCGAACTGAAACCTTTATTTCGCCCGCTGGAGTAGACTGTTCTAGTTCCACGTGCCATGTCTAATGGATGTCAATTATCAGTTATCTCCAGTTAAGGACACGTGGCACAGTGGATAAAGGCACTGGTCAGATCCAGTGACAGGACCCAAAGCTTTGTGGAATCGACCCCTAAGTGGGTGCTTCCTTGATCACTACAATCTTAACCTGTTCAAGTCTAGCGTTAACCGCGTAAACTGTGCATCTTTCTCTGTAACATTCTATCTCGAGTGGCTCCCCAGCCTTGTAAAGGTGAACATCACTGTAAAATAAATCCCTGAAAATTTACAGTATTGGCCGTTGCACATGTGATATAGCCATGGATGTCAGTCTGGCGGCATCTTATTTAATGTCATCTAAGAAAAGGCGAAACTTATATGTATGACTAGTTGGTGTTTTGAATTTGCAGAATACCGAGAAAGAAGTGTCTTTATGTGAATTTAAGGCGGGGTTGAGACGCTTAGGGATACGGCTTGGGAGACAACGGGGCGGCAACTAGAAACACTTTGGTAAATCGTTGTTAGAGAGAAACACAAACATCTTTCATGAATAAGGAAGCCATTTTTTTTTTATTCAAAGCTTCAATTGGCAATGTAGATGGTCTTGTGTCTCTCAATGATCTCAATGTCTCGTTCCAACTGTTTCATCATCATCTCAAGCCGTTCCTTGATGTTCTTCTTCATAATCGTGTCGGTGACCACCGACATCCCTTGGTAATCGTGGTGCACGGCTTCCCAGTTCTTTTTCAGACCGGCCAGAATGCTTTCACGTTCTTCCTCACTCAGGTGCTTCATGGCGCCCTGTTTCACGTGCTCGCTGATGTAGGCGTCATATTGTTCTTGTGCTTTTTTCATCTCTTCTTCTCTTTTCTTCAGATATGGAGGAACCTCGCCGTAATTCTGAAAGAGGAAATAAAAAAAAAATAGTACGTAAGTAAGGGTAGGCATTTCGCATTCCCAGTTGTAAAGGTCTGAACTGGTGGAACGAGAGATTGAAGCTCATATGAACAATTGACATGGAAATAGCGATAGAGGCTTGTAATATTGTGTATAAGGGATAGTTCATAAAATAGAAGACCGAAGAGGCACTCAATGTAGAGAGTCACAATTAAAATGGTTATGCTGAATGAGATGTTATATGTACAAAAGAGGGGGTGATTGAAAATGAAGATTATGAGGATAAGGTCGATAGATAACGACTGGACCTTGATTCGAGGGAGTTAAGCACACACACAGATGACGAGTATGTGCTACACAATGACAGTTCTTGAGAAGAAGATGTCTGAGTGGAAATTTTTTCTTTACATTTGTAATATGAAACATTGAAGCTCATATGAAAATTTGCCATGGAAATAGGGTCAGGCTTGCAATATATATTTTCGGTTTGATAGATCTGTAGCGAATGTCTTTTTTTTTTACTTTAAAGACCCCAAGAAAAACAAGAAGAAAATATTCCTTTTTAAAATACTGGGTGCGGGTGTGAAACAGTAAACCCCAGCGAAGAATAGGTGTTGGGGAGATTTACTTGACCCCTCCACTGAGTCGGGTTGTGACCCAAGGTCATTTTTTAACGTGGGACCCGATTGTTTTCACTGGGGCCGCAGGTTCAAGCTGGTCTTAGCTGGTCAGAGCCGGTCCAAGCTAGTCATAACCGTGATGGATCCCTGTGTCAGGTAAGGAGATTTACTTGAACCCCACTGAGTCAGGTTGTGACACAAGGTCAGTTTTTAACGTGGAAACCCGAGTGTTTTCACTCAGGCCGCTGGTCCAAACTGGTTTTAGCTGGTCATAGCTTGTCCAAACTGGTCAGAGATGGTCTAAGCTAGTCATAGCTAGTCTTGGCTTGTCATAGCTGGTCCGAGCTGGTCAGAGCCGGTCCAAGCTAGTCGTAGCCGTGATACCACCAGCACAGGGACGGATCCCTGGAGCAGGTAAATATAAGAACAGAATCTGGCAAAAACACGCAAAATATTTTGTAATTCACACACAACTGCTGACCATTGATCGATGGACATTTTTCTCCTGTAAAAACGAAGGATCTACAGTACCCGTCAGTGGGTGAAAGATACGAGTAGCAGCAGTTATAGAAACTACACATACCGTTAAGTTATGTGTCAGGAGAAGAAATTCTTTTACCATAGTTGACCATGTTTTTCATAACTCCTGTTTTGTTTCCACGCGAACTTTAACCTTTGGAATTGAGAAGACGAATCTTTTTACACAGTATTCATTATGACTGTTAGCGTCAACTAAAATGTCGGGGAAAGGTATTCTGTTATTAACATTCAGCTCATACTTACGAGTTGAATGTTAAGAAGAGAACAAACAGTAATTGTTCTGATGAATTATCTGCTATGGTAACGAGACATTATGAATTTAAGCGGAGTACTAGATTGGGGGCAAGATCTCATCATTTTACAGTTGAAATGGTTAAATGTAACCGTAAGTTCTATGCTAACAGTTTTTTCTATCGCACTTCTCGCTTGTGGAACTCTCTTCCGGCTTCTTGCTTCCCAGCCAAGTTTGACCTTCAAAAATTTAAATGTAGTGTCAATCGTTATCGTCTGTCTTTTTAATTCCCGTTCTTTTATTATTCTCTCTATTTAATAGTATTTTTATTTTTCTCATAGTCTGCCTGGCTTAGTAACCCTCCCCCACTTGCGTCTTAGTGGCTTTATTGTCTTGCTTGGGGGTGAAATGATTAAAAAATATATATGTTGTGGAACGATGTTATCTTGGTTAAACTCGCACTGTCCCCCCCCACACTTTAAAAGAAATGCTAATAAACCAACTCTCAAGAGAATGCTTCTCCGATCACTAAAATTGTAACCTGTGCAAGTTTAGAGTTAACCATTATCTTTTCCACATATCCGCATAAACTGTACCTCTTATTCTGAAACCCTCTACCATGAGTGGATCCCGGGGCTTGTACAGGGTAAGCATAACCATAATATAGGTATATAATCTAGTTGATTTCATTAAGATTATTTTTCTTTTATTTATGTATACATCACTTTTGTTATGAAATATTGTGATAATAGAAGATTTGCCAAGAATGTTGAAACTTTGTACGAATCTGGACGCAAATTTTATATATATATATATATATATATATATATATATATATATATATATATATATATATATATAATTTTAGGATATTAAAACAAAAATATGTTAAAAATCGCTACACAATTACAATTATTTTTCAACACTACAAATGTGTCTTCTCGGGCGATGTTAAACTATTGGCGAGTGAACGACTTTTTAATTTCAAAAAGTAGGCTTGTGCGCTTTACCGTGATTAACCAATCGAATGTGACAATCGCTAGATTCAAACTCGTAAAAAAAATATTATATACGTCATGACACGAAGTTGTACATATAAACACTAGGCAGTTTTATTATGGACAGATACAAATGGTTACATAATTTCGTAAGATGTATTGAAGTCTGGCGTTCAACTTTCCTAAGAAGTAAAAGCGAAAGCGGTGTTAAGCGATCACGTACTCCCTCAGCGTTATTCACTTCGCCAGTAAAAAATTAACTTTCAGATGAACACAGCAATTTTATCTTGAAATAACGATGATGACATTGTGCTATGTCGAAAGTACTCGGAATAAAATAATATATATCAACACAGCTATATTTTCTCTTCCCTTAATAAGCTTGTCTCCGTGAATAGGATACAATTGAAAATAAGTAGACAAATGAAACATGTCTCAATATATATATATATATATATATATATATATATATATATTATCATGAAGGTCTCTCAAGATTTTACTATTGTGTGAGTTAATAATTTTATCCATATTGTTCATGCAAGAATAGCTAATCTTTAAATTCATCTTGTTGAACATCTTTTTTAGAAATGCATTTTTACTTGTTTTTCTATCAGTTTTATGAAGTATTTACCTATATTAATATTAGAGAGGTTACAAAAAGGTGGGTTGAACCATATAATTTTCCTTTTCCTATTTTTGGGTTTAGTGGATTTTTTATTAACTAGCTGGCTACTCTTATTCGAGGATATCCGTCTACTAGGGCGACTGGCCAATCCCTATTGCAGATGCTTGCTCAGACGCATTTGTGTTTATTCAATACCCTGTGGTTTATACTGCAGCTATGCTGAGCAGACCTTAGTTATAGTCTCTGGGAAAGAGCTTGTTATCAAGCGTGATCAACAATTTGAACAAGGTCAGCACGCTCAAGCCCTCGGCCACGATGACATGTGACTTCGTGCTAGCACAGCTATTTACGGCCTCCAAGGGTTCCGTCTATCCAGTTTCACTCACAAAACTTGGATCAACCCGTAGTATGGTTTTCAGGCACGTTCTGAATGTACTGCACGCTGGGATCGACCCACTTCAGGAAGTCTCCTTCTTGACAAATCGACCATGATGAGATTCGAATGAGAACGTTTTAACTCCTCAGCCACATATATATATATATATATATATATATATATATATATATATATATATATATATATATATATATATATATATATATATATATATATATATATATATAAAAAAAAAAAAAAATACATTTTTAACGTTCTTTTTTATAGATACAAGTATTTAAGTAAATGCTCTGTTTATAATAAACAGTATTAAATAACATTTACCGGCCTGAATGTCCGAGAAATTTTCATAGAAAATATTCTTCCTTTGACAGGATTCGAACCTGCATCCTATACGGAACCGTCATTTACGCTGACGTGCCTAACCTCTCGGCCACAAAGGATCGTTCGGCAAGGTTGAATTTACCGCTTATAAACTTCAATCTTCCATGAATCTCGTACATTCATAACTGCTCATGGCGTATCAAATGTAAACAAATGACGTCATATATTAAGAAATGGACAAAGTCCGACAATTTATTTTATTAAAGACATTTTTATGTTTAACGTTCTTTGTGGCCGAGCGGTCAATATATATAAATATATATATTTGTGTGTGTGTACACGGACACACACAAGTTTCATTAAAGATGACTAACAAATAAATGTGATTAAACTTTTCCTATAATTAACTTCGGATACATACATAAATAAACCCACACATTCAGTTAAAAATAAAATCGCCCTTGCAAATGGCTAAAAGAGTAGTTGAAAGTGTTCGGATATGCAAGACTTTTCGGCGGTTTTTTCACAGTATGTGTTCGGAAAAGAAAGGGACACAACTCACTAACTTTCAATAGCTTATGTTCAAATGAAAAAAGTTACTGTCCTCAAACTACAGTGTTTCAAAAATAATTGTCCGCGTTTCAACTTTTCTCCTAGAGGCCGTAATCCAACATATTTGGGAATAAGGCTGATTCCGTGAACAAATTAAAAACATTTCGGGCTGGACCCAGACCCGCAATCCTGGAATTTTGCATTTCCAATTTTTCATTACTGCAATTGTTTCGACGATCTTTTTACGTGATTTCTTGCGGCGAATTGTTTTGTACGATAACAATTTTTATAACTTGCAAATAAATTTGGCAATAATCGAAATTAATTGCGAAATCCAGCGAAAGTCACCCATGAAATAAAAATAATTGTTTGTACAGAAAGTAAGGACCTACGTACATCAAATTATCTTTAAATTAAATGGCGGCATGAGAATTATCGTTGAACTTTTAAAAAAGTAAGCTTAATGCAATACTTAAATGCAGCGATCAATTCTGAGTTTTGTAGTTTATTGTTGCCTATCGTATTTACTCCTCCCTACCTATTGTGATGAAGGCCCAATCAAGAACCTTCCGCAGGAGTTAGCCGCTCGATAGGACGACTTTTAAGCTAGTATTAATATATATTTACCGTCTTCTGAACGTAATTTGGTTCAAGGCCTGACGGCTGGAGTAGATGTTTGTCTCCTTTGCGTGTGTCACAGTAAATTTTGGTCGGCTTCCTTGGAATAGCTGTGACGTTTTCCAAGGCGTTCTCTGTCACGAAATTTTTGTTTGACTTTAACCCCATCAACGGGACATCCTTTTTGCACGGAATAGGCGGACGCTTTCTCTCATCGTCAGGATATTTGAAGGGCTTTTCTAAAAAAAAAAAAATAAAAAAAAAAAAAATAAAATAAAATTAAAATAGAATAAAAATTAAATCCATATAAAAAGAAAAAAAAATATGCCACAGGAAAAAAAAACTCCGTTTATTAATAGCGCTAAAAAAGACGTTAAAAGAAGAAGAAAAAAATAACAAAGAAAGCAGCTTGAGTTTTTTGTGGATCCTCTCCCATCGAAGTTCAATCGAGGACAAAAACTATGAACACGACTAAAATAACTTACATTATTTACACTATTCGGACTGTTATTGATGTGGGCCCAAAGTTGGGACCACGGAAGGAAAACACGGAACACGGATTAGAGGTAAGAAAGATATATTAAACAAAAAGGTTACAAAGATAGTGTAAGTGTAAGCGGAGCTTACTATGTGCTAGTGTCCAATATTGGTAGTCGTACGCGGCTGATACTACGGTATTAGAATACTCTCTCTCTCTCTCCTCCTCTTCTTCTTCTCTCTCTAGAGTGTTATGTCGCATACTTTATATAGTCCTGGAAGAGTCCATGTTGTAGGTATGTTACGGTCTCACAACAGTTATCCTCATCTTTATTGTCATATTTACAACGTTTCGGACGTTGTACGCTCCGGTCTTCTTCAGGTGATTGCAATTTCGAACCGAACCCTTTATTTCGTCCACCAGGGTAGACTGTTCTAGTTCCACATACGCACACACACACGAACCCTACACACCATAGAAATTGTGTGTATATATGTGTATATATATATATATATATATATAGATATATACTAATTTCTTATAATAAAACAATATATATGTATGCAAAGGAATATATATACACATACTAGCAAAAACACACTAACACAATACACAAGAATGGAGATAGGTTTAAAAAGATACAGGGGTCATAAAAAGATAAGAACAAAAACCTCCTTCCTTCGCCCTTTCTCTGACCAATCTTAATTTTTCTTAAGCAGAAGAATATTTTCTCTATAAGTCCGAGAAAATTTGGATTACTACTACACACAAAAGACAATGGTTAAACATCGGAAAACATAACGAAAAATTGTTTTCTTTAAATAATATGTGGAAATAACCACTTTTTGCCTGATGAAGGTCGAAAGACACGAAACCCGTGTAGCAAAAATACGGAAAATTGAACTCACAACTCTTTGGGTCTAGTTACCGGATCACCAGGCCACAGCAGTGATGAACCAGAATTTGGAGGGTTGAGTTAAAGCGAAAATAACGGAGACACCCGGAAGAGGCATGGCATGTGGAATTAGAACAATCTACCCCCGTGGACGAAAATAAGGGTTTGGTTCGAAATTCAATCACCAGAAGAAGGCCGGTGCGTACAACGTTCGAAACGTTGTGAATATGGCAATGAAGATGAGGATAACAGTCCGAATAATGTAATTATAATACCTCATCTCAGATATATATATATATATATATATATATATATATATATATATATATATATATATATATATATATATAAATTGTGTGTATTTAGGCGGCATTTTTTCATTAATGCATGCTTCGTTAAATAATATAAAGTTTTATCTATTTTAAGTAAATTCCTTTCATATTGTCGAATAAGCTTTTTAGTATTATTACTGAAACACGAATGAAAATCACTATGTTGATAGATGTTTTTATTGTTAATCCTGTCTAAGCTTTCGGCTTACATAAGCAATTAATTAAGATGGTAACCATCACCATAGCCAAAACCATGCATCAACATAGTGATTTTTTTCGTGTTTCAGTGATAATACTAAAAAGCTTATTCGACAATATGAAAGGATTTATAAATAGACAAAACTATATTATTTAACGAAACATGAATTAATATATATATATATATATATATATTCATGAATTATTCATACAAAAAACAAATACAAAGGTTAATGATTTAATTGGCGAGAAATCCATCATCGCGAACAATTCGAATAATATACAAAAACCCCGAATCTGTTTATGAATGAAAAGATCCTTGTTTCTATAAATTTCTGTTGCATAAGTTCTTATTATTTTTACAAGCTTTCGTCTGTTCTTACAGACATCCTCAGGTATGGAATAGATTTTGTTCTTGTTTTTACTCTCAGTAATAAGAGGACAACGAAAATATATGTATTGTTGTAATCCGAAAAATGCTATTAGAAATGAGTTATTGTTTTTTTGGGCGTGCAGTCGCAACGCTGAGTTTGAATTTAAATTTTACAATTGTGCGTTCTTATACAAATATGGTGATAAGCGAATTTTTTTTTACTGGTAAATTTTCTGTCAAAGTGGCATGAACTTTATTGTTCAATAATTACAGTAATGTCGCACTTATTATCCAAAAGTTGCATTTGGATCAGTTATTTTAATTTCAATAAAGGTGCAATATATATATATATATATATACTTTTATCACTGCTGTCTTTTATAGATTCAGTCTTAAGTAGATCACGGATTTCTTGTTCTGTGGTAATTAACTGCTGTTCTTGGACTTTAATTATGTTTTGGTATAGAGTCTCAGTCTCAATTTTTTTTTATATAGTCCAAAACATTTTTTTTTGCATATATGCCTGCCAGTTAAAAAAATAGATTATTAGTAAGTTTTCTAAATTTGGTGAGATCGTCAAGTAAGTGTTTCATTTTTGAGTTGTAGTCGGTTTTGTTTAAAACAGCAAAGATATTTGGTTTATCAGCTTTCTTAATTACTATTTCAAGACGGTTGCGTATTGGAATTAAAGTGACAAAACAGCAAAAAGAATAAAAAGGACATCTGAAACGCGAAACGGTCACTTACTTTCAGGGAGACCCGGCTCCTTTGAGTGTTTTTTTAGATAATTCTTTGTGGAAGGCACAGGCATTTTGGCGGGTCCCATTGTTTTCGCTGGCCGCTTGGACTGTTTTTCCTCCTCTGCAACTTGGGGACGATGCTTCGAGATGTACCTGAAACAGAAACAAAAGTAAATACAAGAAAACACACACACATACATACACATACATATATATATATATTGATAGATATTGACAATATTGGTCGGCAATATATATATATATATATATGTGTGTGTGGCAGCAATCCTTCTTTCATGCACATTTCATTGAATACGACAGACAAGGTGCTTTGATTTAGTTTTTTTATACAATTTCCCATGCGATCTAATAATCATTTTTTTTAAAATAGCTAAATGTATAGCCGAAAGCGCTAGGATAAAAAAAAAACATTCGGACAGTTTTTATATAATTTATCATCCGAAAAAAAAAAAATTATTAAATCGCATGAGAATTTGTATAAAAATATAAATAAAATCACCTTGTCTGTCGTATTCAATAAAATGTGCATATATATATACATACATATATATATACACATATATATATATATATATATATATATATATATATATATATATATATATATATATTAAGAAATGGACAAGGTCCGACAATTTATTTATTAAAGACATTTTTTATGTTTAACGTTGTTTTTATAGATACAAGTATTTAATTAAATGCTCTGTTTATGATAAACAGTATTAAATAACATTTACCGGCAAAAACATTTTTTATCAAAACAAATGTTAAATTAAAACTGTCTTTTATAAATATATAATATATATATATATATATATATATATATTCAAGAGGAAGAAGCAGGTAGAACTCAATGTCCAGGACAGAGCAAGAATATAATATAAAAGGCTCAAGGCTCAAACACTAATATTTCATGATTATAATTTATTACATTGGAATCGTAATCACGATTCAGTTCATCAGACCTACAAATTCAAAAAGAAATCGGAAAATATAACTCCGAGTACATATAAAAATAACTCCGAGTATATATATATATATATATATATATATACAACATTGAATAAATTACAGACATTATGTCTGCTAATTTTTAACAAAATCCGTTCATACTCCCGAATAACATTCCGTGTATTGATATTAAAGGATGAGAAAAATGTGCTATAACTGTTTAAATTTGTTTTATTTTCATTTCCCAAGTACTTTCGATCTTCTTCCAAGATCATCTTGAGTAGTACCAAACTATATGTTGTTCATTAGTGCAAGTATTTATACAAAGTTTCGCGTTGTTATCCATTACCGTAATTTTTTCATTGTGCTTTTAAATGCAAAACGGTTGACAATGTACTGACTGTTCATTAGAACGTAAAAAAGTTATCCATTATGGAATTTTTTCATGTTATAATGTCATGGTCATGCGCGCATAAAAGCGTTAAAAAACTGTTCTTTTACAAGCATTTCAGAACATTACTGCAGTATTCATGGTTGATTCTGTTCAGTGCCGGCTTTAATTTAAAAAAAATATAAATTGCTTCTAGTATCTGTAATCTAAATTTGTTGTTTTTTTGGTGTAAGATAGTTGTGTTGTCGATTAGTAATATTTATATTGTGAATGTGGTCCGGAATGTTGTTGTAGATGTCTCGCTGCCTAAATACACAAATTTTAATATATATATTACTACCGGACACTATTCGTAACATACTTGTTGACAACACAAATATAGTAGCATCATCTACATGAAAAAATGGCTACAAATAATAGAAGCCTTATTAATAAAAACAAAACAAAAAAACAACACTTAATAATATCAACTATGAACATGGACATAATATCTTGACCGTGTTTTGAAAAAAATGAAAACCTGATATAAATACATACACGCAACAAACTATTTCTTATTTAACAGTTAAAATATTTAATTCTTGAAAATGGCTAAATGTATAGCCGAAAGCGCTCGGATAAAAAGAACATTCGGACAGTTTTTATATAATTTACAAACATTGTGAAGAAACATAGTTATACTTGTTTGTTCGTATGTAACAACTTATAATAATAATAATAATAATAATAATAATATATATATATATATATATATATGTATATATATATATATATATATATAAAAAGTGAACATTGAAGTCAGTACTCAGAGGCGAAAGACTGTTTCATGAAACAGCCTGTCGCCTCTGAGTGTTGAATTCAATGTTCACTTTTATATTTACATACGCTCTATTTCTGATATTAAGTACTTTATCCCATAAATATAGAATACCTCAAAACTATGTTTCTTCATATATATATATATATATATATATATATATATATATATACTGTTTATACGTTATTTTTATAGATATAATGTATTTAAATAAATGCTCCGTTTTTAATCAAACAGTGTAACTTACATTTACAGGGCAGAATGTACGAGATATACCGTAGAAAATATGCGTTTTAAATCCCCGCTGCCTATCTGTCATATCCAAACAAGTAGAGATCTAAGCTGAAAATGGGTGAAGGCGGACAACTGGCGCCTCATAACCAGCCACTTCAGGAAGATGGAGCTCGACAACCTAGGAAGGCAGTGCATCTAGGGGAAGGAAAACCCTGATTTTAAACCTTTGCTGCCTATTTGTCATATCCAGATATGGAAAAAGCTATAGAAGTAAATCCAGACAGAAAACTTGGAGTGGAGCCCTGAAGGCGATCGGCTGTGAACACTGACAACTCTTTGGCGATTTCCGCACCCAAGCCATCGCCAAATGTAATACTCTGTATTCCTTTAGATCTTTTCAGTATAGCCAAGAGGTGGGGGGCTTCCATATACTATTGATCTGGCCTAGAGAGGTTACTCCTGTTTCACCACCAATGACGTATGATGGGTATGACGATATACTACATCTGGCAGTAAGACCCCTGATCAGGAGATAAGAGGTTTTGAGGAGTGTGGAACCAACTCTTAATTTGTCTTGTATTCTAGTGTTTTAGAATGTGCACTGAGAATGGGCAAAGGCGGACAACTGGCGCCTCATAACCAGCCGCTTCAGGTAGATGGAGCTAGACAACCCAAGAAGGCAGTCCTTTGAGGGGAAGAAAAAAACCTTGATTGTAAACCCGTGTTGCCTATCTGTCATATCCAAATATGGAAAATGCTATAGAAGTAAATCCAGACAGAAAACCTGGAGTGAAGCCCTGAAGGTGATCGGCTGTGAACACTGACAACTTTTTGGCAACTTCTGCAGCCAAGTCATCCCCAAATAGTAAATACATTTTTTTTAAAATGCCATGTCCTTTCAGAGCAGAGGGGGATAATGGATCTCCAAAGATACATTTCAATTGATAGTTTAGTTGTTACTAGCAGTAGAGCCCAGCGTTGCCCGGGGATGTAACAGTAAGAGATAGATCAAGTATCGACCATCATAAAGACTGAAAAATAAAATTGACAAAGATTATTGTTTAAGGTTGACGGACACGCATGTCTTAATTAGGTTTTTTTTTTTTTTTACGAATTGGTCAAACCCAAACTCAAACAAAAACATTGTTTTTAAGTGTGCAAGACAATAAGAAACATTACCTGCCCAAAAAAGTGAAGTTTTGTTGAAATCGGTTGAAAATGTAGGAAATCGATCCCATATATAAACAACACACACACACACACACACACACACACACACACACACACACACACACACACACACACACACACACAGACACACAAACAAACAAACAAACAACCTGGGTTTTATAATAAGTATAACTCGATATGAGTTGTCCCCCTTTCAGTCTGGCGAAAGAATCGTGTTTTATCGTGTTTTCAAATTGATCTTGTGCAAAAACAATTGTGTTTTTCCAATTTTTGGCACTGTCAGAACCACCGCAAGGTATTTTTACGCAGTCCTGTGAAGTTTTGTTGAAATCGGTTGAAAAATGTAAGAAATCAGATCCAATATATAAACGTACAGACACACACACCCACTCTGCGTTTTATAATAAGTAAGATTACTGCCAAAATGGCAGTATAAATAATTTTAATGGATGTGAAATAATGACTTCATAATCTGCAAGTATTTTAGGCTTAGATCCTGATTTATATTTTCATTTTTTCTTTCCGCTATCTTTTCCTAGAATTAAGAAACTTTTCGATATTTGTGTTTGATTAATAATTTATGTACTATTTCATAATTTGTCTTGCATTCTAGTGTTTTTTGTTTACCTAACATTCGCAGATACTGTAGGGTAGGGTAGGAGGATTCACGGGGTGGGGAACTCTGGTTTTTCTTTCGGATCTCTTCATCCTTTATATTTGTCTTTGGGTGTTTTTGAAGGTGTTTCTGTCTGAATTTCTGGGACGAGTAGAGATATTATTTACACTATCTATATTAGTAAATATATATATTGAGAAATCTCCCCCACATATCCTACCGGGAGCATAAAACGAATGACTATGTACGAAGCAAAATCAAAAGTCTTCTTGGCCGGCAGAAATCCTTTCTTGCCCCTGTTAAACGTCGGAAGATGCCATGGTTTTGCGTTGTCCCACGGCATAACAGCCTTTGCAAGACCGCCATGCAAGACCTGTTGTAGGCGGACGCACCATCTGCTTTCATACCAAGTTCTAGCCTCTACAAACGACTGGTCGTATCCATCCCCATCTACAGGTTTGAGACTGAGACAAACCTGGTTGTGGCAGGAGAAAGCATCCAGTCTTTCAAAAACAAATGCCGGCGAAAAGGTCCCGCGCACCGGACCAATAACTATGAACGGAGCAAGCTCAATATTTTCGTTATGCCAAATTAATGGTGAATAACAGAAGCAACATCCGTGTCAGCGTCACCATGGATGGTGAACCACTGGAGAAAATGTCCAGTTTTAAATGCTTGGGAGGAAACCTGTCAAAAGATGACATCTGCAACGCAGAAATACGTACAAGGATTGTCATAGCCACAGCAGCAATAACCAAACGGGAAAGGATATGGAAGAGCAACATTAGCTTCCAGACCAAGTTCAAGCTCTACAAATCGCTGGTCGTATCCACCCTCCTCTACGAGGGTAAGATTTGGACACTCCCGGTTGAGGCAGATAAAAGGATCCGGAATTGTAGAATGAGTGCTTGTAAAAGTTCCTCCGCAGCACGCACAAAACCAATGATTATGTACGGAGCAAAGTCAAAAGTTTCCTTGGCCGACAGGAATCTCTTCTTGCTCCTGTTAAGCGTCGGAAGATGTCATGGTTTGGCGACGTTACACGGCATAACAGCCTCTGCAAGACCAGCACTCAAGGACCTGTTGAAGGCGGACGCAAGCAGGAAGGGCAACGCAAGAGCTGGTCAGACATCATCAAAGAGTGGACGGACATGACGATGCCAGAACTCATGAGAACCACTACCAACAGATCAACCTGGAGGAGGTTGTCTGTTTCTTCTGCAACTCAGGCCCCCGCCACACAACTGAAGCAGTCCATGGACTGGTGATTATATTGATGTGATTTGAAGCTAGTTGCTCAACATCAGATTAAAATGACGTTATATATTACGCAAAGGAGATTTTTATTTTTTTTATAATTAAAACCAAAATTTAAATTCTGAAAACGATATTTAAATTCAGGGCAATTATTAAAGAAAATTAATTTGTAAATAAATTCAACAGGAATAGATATACGTTTTGTTCGTTGTACTTTGAAGAAGGCCGAGGCGTATAACGGCCGAAACGTCGTGAATATGGCAATAAGGACGAGGACAGCAGTCCGAACAATGTAAATAGTGTAACTAGTGGACGGGCATGACAATGCCGACAAAACCTGAGTTCCATAGCCAACAGATCATCCTGGGGGAGGGTGTCTGTTTCTTTTACCCTCAGGCTCCCCCCACCCAACGATTGAAGCAGTCAAGGGACTGATGATGATGATGATGATATTCGGACTATTCTCCTCATCTTTGTTGCTACTATCACAACGTTTCGGCCGTTGTATCCTGCGGTCATCTTCAGGGCTATATCGATGTGGAATATCGTCCAGATAAGAATAAGATTTAGACGATATTCCTGGACATGGACAGTGGGACGAGAACAGTCTAACTCTGTAGATTAAGTAAAGGATTCGGTTCAGAATTCCTTGTGGGTTATCCAGGTCGATATACACCTGGGGAAGGCCGGAGAGCACAACGGCCGAAATGTTATGATAACATCAACAAAGATGAGGACAATACTCCGAATATAAATAGCGTAAATAATGATATCGCCTCATCCCAGAAATTCATTCCCTGTAGGTTACCCAGACCTGAGGAAGGGCGATGGGCACAACGGCCGAAACATTGTGATAACAACAACAAAGATGAGGATAACAGTCCGAATAAAAATAGTGCAAATAATGGTCATAAATTTCTTTAAAAGATCAGACGGAAAATAAAATGAAACCTATCTTGGCATATTTGAATTTTTTAAATTTGCAAATTATTTTGTTTTTTACTGTTGACCTTATAATTCGCTTTCTTTGAAAAATCAAAAATAGATTTTTTTTATTGCTTCTAAAATCCAGAAAGAACGATCAATACAATACACACACACACACACACACACACACACACATATATATATATATATATATATATATATATGAAGAAAAATATACAGAAAAAACAAACAAAAATCTTAATATGCAATTATGCTGCATTAATATTAATCTTATATAAAAATTTCAGTTATGTGTTTGGATTAGTTGTGCTCTTATGTCCATCGTCTTTTCGTGTTGAATTTTTATATGTTCTAATGTTAATTATGTTTAAATGAAAATGTCCTGAAGATGGTCTAAAATAGACCGAAACGTCCGACGTTGACTTTATATTAACATTAATACAGCATAATTGCATATTAAGATTTTCGTTTGTTTTTTCTGTATATTTTTCTTCATATATATATATATATATATATATATATATATGTGTGTGTGTGTGTGTGTGTGTGTGTAACAAGAAAATTAAGAACTAAATGATAGATTTGTAATATTTTTAAAGAGGTCAAGTGCTTGCAAAGTTGGTTCATGTGTCGTGCGAGATAATTTTTTGCACCAGAATCTATCTTACATATTTCTCATTTGTCCTTGCTTTGAATATTGCTGTCACATTTGGTTTAGTACTTCTGCTATGCATTTAGAGATTCTTGATAAAATCCAAAGAAGAAACTGCAATATTATCAGTCCTGACCTGGCATCCCGACTTCATTAACTTTCCCGCCGCCGTAACGTAGTTTCCCTGCGTCTCTCATATAAATATTTTCATAGTAATTGTTCAGATGAGCGTTCCTCTATTGTAGGACTATATAGAGACTTTGTGGTATTATGGTGGCTGTAGTAAAAATGGTGTAAGAAATACTGTCGTATGTTCAGTAACTGCGGCTAGCTAATTTTAAGACAAGACAGATTGAAAATCAGCCTTCCACTATTTTGGTCATGTGGCACATTTTTGTATTTGCAAAATAAATATTGCTTTCCATTTACGTACCTAAAATTTCTGAATTTAATCGCAATTAAATATTCATAATTACTATTCAAATGTAATGTCAATCGACATCTCCAGTTACCTTGATCTACCCACTATCCTTCTCCTCATCCTTTCTCCTATCACTCCTATCTGCTCTCGCTCCAAATCTTCCGCAACCCCCTGCATCCTAGTGGCTTCACGCCTTGCTTGGGGCGTAATGCTTAAAAAAAAAAAAATGGCTAGATGCAACCGTAAGTTCTATGCTAACAGTTTCTTCTATCATACTTCTAGATGGTGGAACTATTTTCTGGCCTTTTGCTTTACATTGATGTTTAAAAATCTAAACGCAATGTCAATCGTTATATTCTGTTTTCTTGAATCCTGTTCTTTTGTTGTTCTCTCTTCTTAATGTTTTTTTTTCTCATATTTTCTCAGTCCCCCTTTGTGTCGTAATGGTTTTATTGCCTTGCTAGAGGGGGGGGGATGTTTTCATGTTATTTTTTTTTAAAACTACCAGCGTAGTTAAGAATGGCTACGTAAGATAAAGAAGAAAAAACATTTTTAATATTTATATTTTAATTCGATTTTTAAAATGAAGTTTAAAAAAAAAAATTCATTTATCTAGGGATCTCTAGAAAAAAAACGCTATACCTAAGGTTTAAAATTAATTTAAAATAACGTAAAATCTTTCTTGAAGTTTTTATTTTAGTTTTAATTTCAAGCTCATAGATTAAATTAATACATTAAAATAATAAAAAAAAATTATATCCTATAAAAATAAAAATAAAACAAATAAATAAAAATAAGACAAAAAAGACAACCTGTAACAAGAAAATTAAGAACGAAACGTCTATAATATTTTAAATGGTGTGTTTGAGAGCCTCAAGGTACTACAAAAATTACGAATACGAATCAGTAGCGAAAAGGGGACAGCAAATAGTGTGATAAAAATTTAGTTTATATTTAATTTGAATAAAGTGTTTTTTTCGTCTGTTTTTACATATTTAAAATATCTTCTTCTCTCACATTTCTCAGTATAAGACTCTATAGCTCCCACCCCCTCGCTACTTGAGTCTTTAGGGGCATACAACCAAGAAGTTGGCCCCGGGCATCACTAAACATCATCAAACTTCTACGCGTCATTGATGAGAAATGAATATATATTTCGGGAAAAATCGAAAAATGTATTTGAAAATATAAATAAAAACCATAAAACGATACACAGGGTGATTAAAATAAAAGTAACTCCCTATTTTGTGTATGAGAGGCCATCCAGGAATCCTGACTTAACACCCAGTAATTTTTTTTTCTTTGGGGTTGATTAAATGAGAAAGTCTGCTATTACCAGAGCAAGACTTTGGAGAACTTGAAGGTCGAATACAAGAAAATATGTCTTCCATATCACAAGAGTTTCTGGTGAAATTAACTGAAGCGATTCCTGGGCGGCTCAAGAAGCTGGTAGCGAAATCTGGTGTCCATATCGAATTTTAAATGAAACCTAATCTTAACGTTTTCCGCTCATATCCATTTCTTGTAAAAATTATAGTTAATAAATAAATTATAAGTATTTTAAAATAAGGAGCTACTTTTCAACCACCCTGTAGTTTATAGATTTTAACTCGCCATTTAGTGCATGCGAATTATGGCCCCGATTTTAGACATTTTCAGGTTTTTCAATATTAAATTAATTAAATTATATTCGGTTTAACAGAGTCCGATTTTTGCTTTGGTTTAAGAAGTTGAATTTTTTCTCTCTTACCTTAAAGGCTTTGATTGTGTCGTCTCCTCCTTTGGGAGCAAATTTGTAATGTATTCTTTCTCAGGCATTTTAGGTCAAATAAGGAAAATAAACGGAAAATCAAACAATATATATATGTATATATATATATACTTCTTTTTTTTTTCTTTTGCTTCCAATGACGAGAATCGTTAACGGAATTAAAAAAATCCGAGATTGAACCACAACAAAGTTTGTAACTATAGCTACCACGTTGGCAACAACGAAGGGAGATAACAAGAAACAAATTTATTAGAGTTATTTCCCTTGCGCTGTTAATTATCACTTTTGGCACAGGTTTCGCCCGCTCGCTGTTGCTTCGCAAAGTCAGACTTGAAATATTTGAAACCAAAATTTTAAATGAACATTTCATTCATAAACTGGTTTGTTATAGTTAAGGAAGTTTTTACAAATAGATATTGAGCTTTTAGTGTGGAAATTACTAAAGTAGAGCTGGGGCCTTTTAATCACAGAATTCGTGAGAGAATTGAGCTCCAATTTCGCATTTATTCATATAGATTCCATAATATAGGTTTTTACTTAATTAGCTATTATGTTTCTCTAAATCTTCAAATGTTGAATGTATAACCAATTCTAATTTCTATTTCTTGTGGATAAAGGCGTTAGTTAGATTCAAAGAGTGTGAGTTCAATACCCAGTTAAGGCAGTGGAGAACTTTCAGAGGGAAATTAACAGGAGATAACTGATAACTGACATCCATTAAACATGGCACATGGAACTAGAACAGTCTACCCCAGTGAGCGAAATAAAGGGTTCAGTTCGACATTCCAACCACCTGAAGAAGGCCGGAGCGTACAACGGCCGAAACATTGCAATAAATATGGCGACAAAGATGAGGACAATAGTCCGAATAATGTAAATAGTGTACATAATACCTCATGTCAGACATATAGACAGATAATGAAGGGCCGAAACGTTGTAATAAATATGTCGACAAAGATGAGGACAATAGTCCGAATAATGTAAATAGTCTACATAATACCTCATCTCAGAAATATAAACAGATATTGTCCATTTCTTTATTGCCAAATTAGTTTTTTTTTATTACGCTATTTGGATGTAGTTTATCGTCTTACCAAGGACGCGGATGGGTTAACTATTTGCCCATAGCTGGGACCCTAAGAGGTGCTACCACCCCGGGTCAGGGTGGACCTGTGAACACCAGCAATTAAGAGGTGGTTCCATTCTCGTCAAAACCTCCTGATCAGAGACTTTGCTGCCGGATGTAGTTTGTCGTCTTACCCAGGACGGTTGAATGCATAGACCGGTAAATGTATTGTTATAAAAAAAAAAATAAAACAGGGCGTCTACTCAAACACGTGTATCCACTAAAATAATATTTACTGTACATCCACCCAACATACCATATAAATTTTTTATTACTCTTATTTTAGTAGATACCCGTATTTAAGTAGACGTTCAGCTTTTTTTAAAATTTAATTTTTTTTTTTATTTCAGAGTCTTGATACGGAAAATATACTTAATTTAATTTTCTCTATGGCGAGGTAATTTTGTCTACAGGGCGAGGTAAAATTCGTGCATCATAAGAGTTTAATGGACAAGGGGGAAGATGTCCTGTTGAGTGATCACCGAAGTCTCCAGACCCCACAGACTTTGATTATTTTCTGTGGGGCCATTTGAAATCAGTTGTTTATAAATATCGAGGAACAAATAAAGACGCCTGCTCAGTCAGATTTGTGTTTGTTTAACACCCACAGAGCCCAGCTGTGGTTTATAGGGCAACTATGCTGATCAGACCTTAGTTAGACTTTCTGAGAGAGTGCGTGTTATCTAGCGTGATCAACTGTCTGAACAAGGCTAAGCCCACTGAAACCCTCGGTCACGATGACTTGTGACTTCGTGCTAGCACAAACATCGATCGCTTCGAAGGATTTAAATCTACCCAAGTTCATTTACAAAGCACTTTCCAAATGTGTCCAACGCTGTCACACGATAATTATAATAGAAAAATATGCTCTCCGGTAGACGAAAATAAATAAATATATTGTTTAATTAATAAACTCCTGTTAGGATCCCAGCAACGGACAAATAGGGAACCGCCAAATAAATTCAATACATTTTTCATAAGAAAATTACCAGAAATACATTTTTATAGTAAAATTATAAACAATATATTTTTATATTAAAATTACCAATATTTTTACTAGCAGTCGTACCCAGTTAGTCGATCAGAAAAAGCGTTCAATTAGAATGGATCAAAAACAGCATCATGTTTAGATGTAACAGAGCCTACCTTCTTCAATTACTTTAAAGTACTTTCATTTAAAATACAAAAAACATTCTGAATTAATGCAATTACTGATATAAAATAATTCGTCTGTATTTATTCAATCGAAGTTAGCTGAGGACATGATGGGGTAAAACAGGCAACATGAAGATCAACTTCAGACCACAATTATTTTGGAGTTTTTGAAATTCAATTTGCCAGTGGATGTAAAAGAGGATACATTTATAAAGCAATTGTTAAGTTTGATGAAAATTGATTGAAATATCAACGAAAAATAGAAAGAAATCAGTAAAAATCACCATTTTTCGCTATTTACGAAGGTTTTCACTATATAGGTGGACTCAATTATCAAATTAAATGACTGTTAAACAATCATCTTATTGTTGGCTACAATTTAGTGAAGTTTGTATTAGATTACTTGAACATTGGGAGAGTTTTTAGTTTAAAAATTGTGTTGAAATCGAGGTTTCATTTTTCGCGGTTTTTGCTAAACGCAGAGGCATAGGAATAAAAATAAGGGATCGTTCATCATGATGTAAGTAACCTACATACCGAGTTTGAACGAAATCGGAGGAAAAAAAGTTGAATTTATCGATATTTGATCGGCTTTATCAATTATTGATTTTAAAAAAATATCGATTTTTTATGCTAGGACCCTATAACTTACATTGTACAATGTGTTTGTCAAGTTTGGCCCAAATCCGTTGGTTGGAGTTCGAGTGAAAAGGTATCACACAGACAGACATCATCATTTTTTTATATATATATATATATATATATATATATATATATATATATAGATATATAGATAGATAGATACCAAAAAACAATCAATATAACACTAAAAAAGTTTAAAAATACATTTTTATAGCAAAAATACCAGTAATATATTTTTATAGTAATATTACCAGCAATACATTTTTTAAATTACCAACAATACATTTTATCATCTACAAACTATATATCTTAAAAAAATAGACGTTTATACTCAAAGTATAAAATTATGTACAAGATACCTGTAGTTGAAAGCATAAAACTGTGTACGAAATATTTAGATTTTGATATTAAAAGACCCATAGAGGTGTTGATATTCCTTTGATAAAATCGATCAATATATCAGATTTTTGAACAGGTTCAAATTGAGTGTGCCAAGAAGGACAAAAGGTGATGAATTCTACACAAATTAGAATCAGTCAAGAAATTTTCTTGACAAATACTTCTCAAAATCAACGAACAAAATCGGTGATGTACGGTAATCGTATATAGAATTTTCCAAAATCGTAGAATTTGGATTTATTAAATTGCAGAATTGTATCATGAATGCTAGATTACATATTATCCAGAGAGTAGCCATTTTCAACATTATTACCTTCGTAACAAAAACTCAATTTCAGAATTTAATTTAAGTTTAGAACATAAAATTAAGGTTCGATGAATCAGATTTTGATTTATGGGACAAAAATTGTCCTAACGGCCACACCCAAAGATGGCTTCAGGCACACGGAAGTATGAGAGTAAATTTAACTTTTATGAGTTTCGCTTCCAAAATGACAGTAATCCAGCGAGGGTTTGGATTATATATCCGGCTCCTTGCTTTAAGTCACCTTCTGCTTGCTTTAGACCTCCATCTCCTTGCTTTAGACCCCATCTCCATGATTTAGATCTCCTTCTCCTTGCTTTGAATCTCGTCCTTGCTTTAGATATCCTACTCCTTGCTTTAGGTCTCCTTCTTGCTTTAGATATACTTCTCTTTGCTTGAGATCTCCATCTCCATGCTTTAGATGTCCATCTACTTGCTTTAGATCTCCTTCTCCGTGCTTTAGATCGAACTTTACTTGCTTTAGATATGCTTCTCCTTGCTTTAGATCTCCTTCTCCTTGCTTTGGATCTCGTCCTTGCTTTAGATATCCTACTCCTTGCTTTAGGTCTCCTTCTTGCTTTAGATATACTTCTCTTTGCTTGAGATCTCCATCTCCATGCTTTAGATCTCCATCTACTTGCTTTAGATCTCCTTCTCCGTGCTTTAGATCTAACTTTTCTTGCTTTAGATATGCTTCTCCCTGCTTTAGATCTCCTTCTCCTTGCTATAGATCTCCTTCTCTCTGCTTTATTTCTCTTTTCCTTGCTTTAGATCTCCTTCTACTTGCTTTAGATCTCCTTCTCCCTGCTTTAGATCTCCTTCTCCTTGCTTTAGATCTCCTTCTCTCTGCTTTAGATCTCCTTCTCTCTGCTTTATTTCTCTTTTCCTTGCTTTAGATCTCCTTCTCCCTGCTTTATATCTCATTCTCCTTGCTATAGATCTCCTTCTCTCTGCTTTATTTCTCTTTTCCTTGCTTTAGATCTTCTTCTCCTTTCTTTAGGTCACCTTCTCCTTGCTTTAAATCTCCTTCTCCCTACTTTAGATCTCCTCCCTGCTTTAGATCTCCTTCTCCCTGCTTTAGATCTCCTCCTCCCTTCTTTAGATCTCCTTCTCCCTTCTTTAGATCTCCTTCTCCCTGCTATAGATCTCCTTCTCTCTGCTTTATTTATCTTTCCCTTGCTTTAGATCTCCTTCTCCCTGCTTTAGATCTCCTTCTACTTGCTTTAGATCTACTTCTCCCTGCTTTAGATCTCCTTATCCTTGCTTTAGATCTCCTTCTCTCTGCTTTATTTCTCTTTTCCTTGCTTTAGATCTCCTTCTCCCTGCTTTAGATCTCCTTCTCCTTGCCATAGATCTCCTTCAACTTGCTTTAGATCTCCTTCTCCCTCCTTTAGATCTCATTCTCGTTGCTATAGATCTCCTTCTCTCTGCTTTATTTCTCTTTTCCTTGCTTTAGATCTCCTTCTCCTTTCTTTAGATCTCCTTCTCCCTGAATTAGATCTCCTTCTCCCTGCTTTAGATCTCCTTCTCCCTGCTTTAGATATCCTTCTCCTTGCTATAGATCTCCTTCTCTCTGCTTTATTTCTCTTTTCCTTGCTTTAGATCTCCTTCTCCCTGCTTTAGATCTCCTTCTACTTGCTTTAGATCTCCTTCTCATTGCTATAGATCTACTCCTCTCTGCTTTATTTCTCTTTTCCTTGCTTTAGATCTCCTTCTCCCTGCTTTAGATCTCCTTCTCCTTGCTATAGATCTCCTTCTCTCTGCTTTATTTCTCTTTTCCTTGCTTAAGATCTCCTTCTCCCTGCTTTAGATCTCCTCCTCCTTGCTTTGGATCTCCTTCTCCCTGCTTTAGATCTCCTTCTCTTTGCTATAGATCTCCTTCTCTCTGCTTTATTTCTCTTTTCCTTGCTTTAGATCTCCTTCTCCTTGCTTTAGATCTCCTTCTCCCTGCTTTAGATCTCCTTCTCCTTGCTTTAGATCTCCTTCTCCCTGCTTTAGATCTCCTTCTCCTTGCTATAGATCTCCTTCTCTCTGCTTTATTTCTCTTTTCCTTGCTTTAGATCTCCTTCTCCTTTCTTTAGATCTCCTTCTCCCTTCTCCCTTTTAGATCTCCTTCTCCTTGCTTTAGATCTCATTCTCCTTTTCTCCTTCTTTTATAGATCTCCTTCTCTCCTTTTTCTCCTTCTCCTTGCTTTAGATCTCCTTCTCTGCTTTATTTCTCTTTTCCTTGCTTTAGATCTTCTTCTCCTTTCTTTAGATCTCCTTCTCCTTGCTTTAGATCTCCTTCTCCCTGCTTTAGATCTCATTCTCCCTGCTTTAGATCTCCTTCTCCTTGCTATAGATCTCCTTCTCTCTGCTTTATTTCTCTTTTCCTTGCTTTAGATCTTCTTCTCCTTTCTTTAGATCTCCTTCTCCTTGCTTTAGATCTCCTTCTCCCTGCTTTAGATCTCCTTCTCCTTGCTTTAGATCTCCTTCTCTCTGCTTTAGATCTCCTTCTCCTTGCTATAGATCTCCTTCTCTCTGCTTTATTTCTCTTTTCCTTGCTTTAGATCTCCTTCTCCCTGCTTTATATCTCATTCTCCTTGCTATAGATCTACTTCTCTCTGCTTTATTTCTATTTTCCTTGCTTTAGATCTCCTTCTCCTTTCTTTAGATCTCCTTCTCCTTGCTATAGATCTCTTTCTCCTTGTTTTAGATCTCCTTCTCCCTGCTTTAGATCTCCTTCTCCTTGCTATAGATCTCCTTCTCTCTGCTTTATTTCTCTTTTCCTTGCTTTAGATCTCCTTCTCCTTTCTTTAGATCTCCTTCTCCCTGAATTAGATCTCCTTCTCCTTGCTTTAGATCTCCTTCTCCCTGCTTTAGATCTCCTTCTCCTTGCTTTAGATCTCATTCTCCCAGCTTTCGATCTCCTTCTCCTTGCAATAGATCTCCTTCTCTCTGCTTTATTTCTCTTTTCCTTGCTTTAGATCTTCTTCTCCTTTCTTTAGATCTCCTTCTCCCTGCTTTAGATCTCCTTCTCCCTGCTTTAGATCTCCTTCTCCCTGCTTTAGATCTCCTTCTCCTTGCTTTAGATCTCCTTCTCCCTGCTTTAGATCTCCTTCTCCTTGCTATAGATCTCCTTCTCTCTGCTTTATTTCTCTTTTCCTTGCTTTAGATCTTCTTCTCCTTTCTTTAGATCTCTTCTCCTTGCTTTAGATCTCCTTCTCCTTGCTTTAGATCTCCTTCTCCTTGCTTTAGATCTCCTTCTCCTTGCTATAGATCTCCTCTCTGCTTTATTTCTCTTTTCCTTGCTTTAGATCTCCTTCTCCCTGCTGTAGATCTCCTTCTCCCTGCTTTAGATCTCCTTCTACTTGCTTTAGATCTCCTCCTTGCTTTAGATCTCCTTCTCCCTGCTTTAGATCTCCTTTTCCTTGCTATAGATCTCCTTCTCTCTGCTTTATTTCTCTTTTCCTTGCTTTAGATCTCCTTCTCCCTGCTTTAGATCTCCTTCTCCTTGCTATAGATCTCCTTCTCTCTGCTTTTCTTTCTCTTTTCCTTCCTTTGCTATCTCTCCTTCTCCCTGCTTTAGATCTCCTTCTCCTTGCTTTAGATCTCCTTCTCTCTGCTTTATTTCTCCTTTTCCTTGCTTTAGATCTCCTTCTCCTGCTTTATCTCCTTCTTCCTTGCTCTCCTTCTCCTTCTCTCCTTTCCCTTTATAGATCTCCTTCTCCTTGCTTTTTTTCTCTCCTTCTCCCCTTTTAGATCTCCTTCTCCTTGCTTTTCTCCTTCTCCTTGCTTTAGATCTCCTTCTCTGCTTTAGATCTCCTCCTTCCTCCTGCTTTAGATCTCCTTCTCCTGCTTTATTTCTCCTTTTCCTTCTTTAGATCTCCTTCTCCCTGCTTTATTCTCCTTCTCCTTGCTATAGATCTCCTTCTCTCTGCTTTATTTCTCTTTTCCTTGCTTTAGATCTCCTTCTCCTGCTTTAGATCTCCTTCTCCTTGCTATAGATCTCCTTCTCTCTGCTTTATTTCTCTTTTCCTTGCTTTAGATCTCCTTTCTCCTGCTTTATCTTTCTCTTTCTTTAGATCTCCTTCTCCCTTTCTCTCTTTCTCCCTTTAGATCTCCTTCTCCTTTATTTCTCCTTTCCTTCTCTTTAGATCTCCTTCTCCTTGCTTTAGATCTCCTTCTCCCTATAGATCTCCTCTTTTCTTTTATTTCTCTTTTCCTTGCTTTAGATCTCCCTTCTCCCTGCTTTAGATCTCCTTCTCCTTGCTTTAGATCTCCTTCTCTCTGCTTTAGATTCTCCTTCTCCTTGCTTTAGATCTCCTTCTCTCTGCTTTTATTTCTCTTTTCCTTGCTTTAGATCTCCTTCTCCTTCTTTAGATCTCCTTCTCCTTGCTTTAGATCTCCTTTCTCCTTGCTTTATTTCTCCTTCTCCTGCTTTAGATTTCCTTCTCCTTGCTTTAGATCTCCTTCTCCTTGCTTTAGATCTCCTTCTCCTTGCTTTAGATCTCCCTTCTCTCTGCTTTTATTTCTCTCTCCTTGCTTTAGATCTCCTTCTCCTTGCTTTATTTCTCCTTCTCCTTGCTTTAGATCTCCTTCTCCCTGCTTTAGATCTCCTTCTCCTTGCTTTAGATCTCCTTCTCCTTGCTTTATTTCTCCTTTCTCCTTCTGCTTTAGATCTCTCCTTCTCCTTTCTTTAGATCTCCTTCTCCCTGCTTTTAGATCTCTCCCTTCTCTCTGCTTTAGATCTCCTTCTCCTTGCTTTAGATCTCCTTCTCTCTTGCTTTCTCTTTTCTCCTTCTCCTTGCTTTAGATCTCCTTCTCCTTGCTTTAGATCTCCTTCTCCTGCTTTAGATCTCCTTCTCCTTGCTTTAGATCTCCTTCTCCTTGCTTTCCTTCTCTCTCTTTATTTCTCTTCTCCTTGCTTTAGATCTCCTTCTCCTTTCTTTAGATCTCCTTCTCCTTGCTTTAGATCTCCTTCTCCTCTGCTTTAGATCTCTTTCTCCTGCTTTAGATCTCCTTCTCCTTGCTATAGATCTCCTTCTCCTTCTCTCTTCTCTTGCTTTTCTCTTTTCCTTGCTTTTAGATCTCCTTCTCCTTGCTTTAGATCTCCTTCTCTTGCTTTAGATCTCCTTCTCCCTGCTTTATTTCTCCTTTTCCTTCTCCTTTAGATCTCCTTCTCCTTTGCTTTAGATCTCCTTCTCTCTGATCTCCTTTATTTCTCTTCTCCTTGCTTTAGATCTCCTTCTCCCTGCTTTAGATCTCTTTTCCTTCTCTCCTTGCTGCTTTAGATCTCCTTCTCTCTGCTTTATTTCTCTTTTCCTTTGCTTTAGATCTCCTTCTCCTTGCTTTAGATCTCCTTTCTCCTTGCTTTAGATCTCCTTCTCCCTGCTTTATCTCTCTTCTCCTTGCTTTAGATCTCCTTCTCCTTGCTTTAGATCTCCTCTCTCTTTATTTCTCTTTTTCCTTGCTTTAGATCTCCTTCTTCTCCTTGCTTTAGATCTCCTTCTCTCTTGCTTTAGATCTCCTTCTCCCCTTTATTTCTCTTTTCTCCTTTTTAGATCTCCTCCCCTTCTCTCTGCTTTATTTCTCCTTCTCCTTGCTTTATTTCTCCATTTCCCTTTAGATCTCCTTCTCCTTGCTTTAGATCTCCTTCTCCCTGCTTTATTTCTTTTTCTCCTTGCTTTAGATCTCCTTCTCCCTGCTTTAGATCTCCTTCTCCTTGCTTTAGATCTTCTCCTTCTCTCTTCTTTTTTTCTCTTTTCCCTGCTTTAGATCTCCTTCTCCCTGCTTTAGATCTCCTTCTCTCCTTGCTTTAGATCTCCTTCTCCTTGCTTTATTTCTCTTCTCCTTGCTTTAGATCTCCTTCTCCCTGCTTTATATCTCCTTCCTTTAGATCTCCTTCTCCCTTTTTAGATCTCCTTCTGCTTTAGATCTCCTTCTCCCTTTAGATCTCCTTTCTCTTTTTGCTCTTAGATCTCCTTCTCCTTTCTTTGCTTTTAGATCTCCTTCTCCTTGCTTTGATCTCCTTCTCCTTGCTTTATAGATCTCCTTCTTTCTTAGATTTCTCTTTTCCTTGCTTTAGATCTCCTTCTCCCTTCTTTAGATCTCCTTCTCCTTGCTTTAGATCTCCTTCTCCCTTCTTTAGATCTCCTTCTCCTTTAGATTTCTCCTTCTCTTCCTTGCTTTCTCTCCTTCTCCTTGCTTTAGATCTCCTTCTCCTTGCTTTAGATCTCCTTCTTTCTCTTTTTGCTTTCTCCTTCTCCTTGCTTTAGATCTCCTTCTCCTTGCTTTATCTCTCCTTCTCTCTGCTTTAGATCTCCTCCTCCTTGCTTTAGATCTCCTTCTCCTTGCTTTAGATCTCTCCTTCTCCTTGCTTTTAGATCTCCTTTTCTCCTCTGCTTTAGATCTCCTTCTCTCTTTAGATCTCCTTCTTTTCTCTTTAGATCTCCTTCTCCTTCTCTGCTTTAGATCTCCTTCTCCTTGCTTAGATCTCCCTTCTCTCTTTAGATTCCTTCTCCTTGCTTTAGATCTCCTTCTCCTCTGCTTTAGATCTCCTTCTCCTTTAGATCTCCTTTTAGATCTCCTTCTCTTTATAGATCTTTTTTCTCCTTCTCCTTGCTTGCTTCTCCTTCTCCTTGCTTTAGATCTCCTTCCTTGCTTTAGATCTCCTTCTCCCTGCTTTAGATCTCCTTCTCCTTGCTTTAGATCTCCTTCTCTTTATTTCTCTTCTCCTTCTTTAGATCTTCTCCTTGCTTTAGATCTCCTTCTCCTTGCTTTAGTCTCCTTCTCCTTGCTTTAGATCTCCTCTCCTTCTCCCTTTAGATCTCCTTCTCTCTGCTTTATTTCTCCTTCTCCTTGCTTTAGATCTCCTTCTCTCTGCTTTAGATCTCCCCTTCTCTCCTTCTCTTGCTTTATTTCTCCTTCTCCTTGCTTTAGATCTCCTTCTCCCTGCTTTAGATCTCCTTCTCCTTTGCTTTTAGATCTCCTTCTTTATTTCTCTTTTCCTTCTCCTTTTGAGATCTCCTTCTCCTTGCTTTAGATCTCCTTCTCCTTGCTTTTAGATCCTTCTCCTTCTCTCTGCTTTTTTCTCTTCTCCTTGCTTTAGATCTCCTTCTCCTTGCTTTAGATCTCCTTCTCCTTGCTTTAGATCTCTCCTTCTCTCTGCTTTATTTCTCTTTTTCTGCTTTTAGATCTCCTTTCTCCCTGCTTTAGATCTCCTTCTCCTTGCTTTAGATCTCTCCTTCTCTCTTCTTTAGAGATCTCTTTTCTCTTGCTTTATTTCTCCTTCTCCTTTCTTTAGATCTCCTTCTCCTTGCTTTAGATCTCCTTCTCTCTGCTTTATTTCTCCTTCTCCTTGCTTTAGATCTCCTTCTCCCTGCTTTAGATCTCTTTTCTCCTTGCTTTAGATCTCCTTCTTCCTTGCTTTTAGATCTCCTTCTCCCTGCTTTAGATCTCCTTCTCCTTGCTTTTAGATCTCCTTTCTCCCTGCTTTAGATCTCCTTCTCCTTGCTTTAGATCTCCTTCTCCTTGCTTTAGATCTCCTTCTCTTTGCTTTAGATCTCCTTCTCCTTGCTTTAGATCTCCTTCTCTCTGCTTTTAGATCTCCTTCTCTCTAGATCTCCTTCTTTTCCTTTCTTTAGATCTCCTTCTCCTTTGCTTTAGATCTCCTTCTCCTTGCTTTAGATCTCCCTTCTCCTTGCTTTAGATCTCCTTCTCCTTGCTTTAGATCTCCTTCTCCTTTTTTTATAGATCTCCTTCTCTCTTTTTATTTCTCTTTTCCTTTCTTTATTTCTCCTTCTCCTTTGCTTTAGATCTCCTTCTCCCTGCTTTAGATCTCCTTCTCCTTGCTCTAGATCTCCTTCTCCTGCTTTAGATCTCCTTCTCCTTGCTTTAGATCTCCTTCTCCTTGCTTTAGATCTCTTTTCTCCTTCTCTTCTCCCTGCTTTAGATCTCCTTCTCCTTGCTTTAGATCTCCTTCTCTGCTTTATTCTCCTTCTCCTTGCTTTTCTCCTTCTCCTTGCTTTAGATCTCCTTCTCCTTGCTTTAGATCTCCTTCTCCTTGCTTTAGATCTCCTTCTCCCTGCTTTAGATCTCCTTCTCCTTGCTTTAGATCTCCTTCTCCTTTAGATCTCCTTCTCCCTTTAGATCTCCTTCTCCTGCTTTATCTCTCTTCTCCCTGCTTTAGATCTCCTTCTCCTGCTTTAGATCTCCTTCTCCTTTCCCTTTAGATCTCCTTCTCCTTGCTTTAGATCTCCTTCTCCCTTGCTTTAGATTCTTCTCCTTGCTTTAGATCTCTTTCTCCTTGCTTTAGATCTCCTTCTCCTTCTCTCTTAGATCTCCTTCTCCTTGCTTTAGATCTCCTTCTCCTGCTTTTCTTCTCCTTCTCCTTCCTTTAGATCTCCTTCTCCTTGCTTTAGATCTCCTTCTCCTTGCTTTATTTCTCTTTTCTCCCTGCTTTCGATCTCCTTCTCCTTGCTATAGATCTCCTTCTCCTGCTTTTATTTTCTCCCTTCTCCTTGCTTTAGATCTCCTTCTCCTGCTTTAGATCTCCTTCTCTCTGCTTTAGATCTCCTTCTCCTTGCTTTAGATCTCCTTCTCTTTGCTTTAGATCTCCTTCTCTCTGCTTTAGATCTCCTTCTCCTTGCTTTAGATCTCCTTCTCTCTGCTTTAGATCTCCTTCTCCTTGCTTTAGATCTCCTTCTCCTGCTTTAGATCTCCTTCTCTTTTTTCTCTTTTCCTTGCTTTAGATCTCCTTCTCCCTGCTTTATTTCTCCTTTTCCTTGCTTTAGATCTCCTTCTCCTCTGCTTTATTTCTCTTTTCTCCTTCTCTTTAGATCTCCTTCTCCTTGCTTTAGATCTCCTTCTCCTTGCTTTAGATCTCCTTCTCCTTGCTTTTTAGATCTCCTTCTCCCTGCTTTAGATCTCCTTCTCCTTGCTTTAGATCTCTCTTCTCCCTGCTTTAGATCTCCTTCTCCTTGCTTTAGATCTCCTTCTCCTTGCTTTTAGATCTCCTTCTCCTTGCTTTAGATCTCCTTCTCACTTTAGATCTCCTTCTCCTTGCTTATCCTTCTCTCCTTCTCTCTTGCTTTATTTCTCTTTCTTCTCCTTGCTTTAGATCTCCTTCTCCCTGCTTTAGATCTCCTTTCTTTCCTATAGTCTCCCTTCTCTCTCTTTTTTCTCTTTTCCTTTGCTTTGATCTCCTTCTCCTTGCTTTAGATCTCCTTCTCCTTGCTTTTAGATCTCCTTCTCTCCTGCTTTCTTTCTCTTCTCCTGCTTTAGATCTCCTTCTCTTGCTTTAGATCTCCTTCTCCTTGCTTTAGATCTCCTTCTCCTGCTTTTTTCTCTTTTCTCCCTGCTTTAGATCTCCTTTCTCCTTGCTTTAGATCTCCTTCTCCTTGCTTTATTTCTCCTTTCTTCTTGCTTTAGATCTCCTTCTCCTTGCTTTAGATCTCCTTCTCCTTGCTTTAGATCTCCTTCTCCCTGCTTTAGATCTCCTTCTCCTTGCTATAGATCTCCTTCTCTCTATTTTATTTCTTTTCTCTTTTCCTTGCTTTAGATCTCCTTCTCCTTGTTTTTTAGATCTCCTTCTCCTTGCTTTAGATCTCCTTCTCTCTGCTTTTATTTCTCCTTTTCTTGCTTTTAGATCTCCTTCTCCTTTGAATCTCATTTTGATCTCCTTCTCCTTGCTATAGATCTCCTTCTCTCTGCTTTATTTCTCTTTCCTTGCTTTAGATCTCCTTCTCCCTTTCTTTAGATCTCCTTCTCCTTGCTTTAGATCTCCTTCTCCCTTTCTCTTTAGATCTCTCTTCTCCTTGCTTTAGATCTCCTTCTCTCTGCTTTATTTCTCCTTCTCCTTGCTTTTTATCTCTCCTTCTCCCTTCTTTAGATCTCCTTCTCCTTGCTTTAGATCTCCTTCTCCTGCTTTATTTCTCTTTTCCTTGCTTTAGATCTCCTTCTCCCTGCTTTAGATCTCCTTCTCCTTGCTATAGATCTCCTTCTCTCTGCTTTATTTCCTTTTCCTTGCTTTAGATCTCCTTTCTCCTTTCTTTAGATCTCCTTCTCCTTGCTATAGATCTCCTTCTCTCTGCTTTATTTCTCTTTTCCTTGCTTTAGATCTCCTTCTCTTCTCCTTCTCTTTAGATCTCCTTCTCCTCTGCTTTAGATCTCCTTCTCTTGCTTTAGATCTCCTTCTCCTTGCTTTAGATCTCCTTCTCTCTGCTTTATTTCTCTTCTCCTTGCTTTAGATCTCCTTCTCCTGCTTTAGATCTCCTTCTCCTTGCTTTAGATCTCCTTCTCTCCTTTATTTCTCTTTTCTTGCTTTAGATCTCCTTCTCCTTGCTTTAGATCTCCTTCTCTCTTCTTTTTCTCCTTCTCCTTGCTTTAGATCTCCTTCTCCTTCTTTAGATCTCCTTCTCCTTGCTTTAGATCTCCTTCTCCTCTTTTTATTTCTCTTTTCCTTGCTTTAGATCTCCTTCTCTCTGCTTTATTTCTCCTTTTCCTTGCTTTAGATCTCCTTCTCCTTTCTTTATTTCTCTTTCTCCCTTGCTTTAGATCTCCTTCTCCCTGCTTTAGATCTCCTTCTCCCTGCTTTAGATCTCCTCCTCCTTGCTTTAGATCTCCTTCTCCTTCTCTCCTTCTCCCTTTTTTTTCTCTTTTCCTTGCTTTAGATCTCCTTCTCCTTGCTTTAGATCTCCTTCTCCTTGCTTTAGATCTCCTTCTCTTGCTTTAGATCTCCTTCTCTTGCTTTAGATCTCCTTCTCCTTGCTTTAGATCTCCTTCTCCTTGCTTTAGATCTCCTTCTCCCTGCTTTAGATCTCCTTCTCCTTGCTCCTTTGTTTCTCCTTGCTTTAGATCTCCTTCTCCTTGCTTTAGATCTCCTTCTCTCTGCTTTATTTCTCTTTTCCTTGCTTTAGATCTCCCTTCTCCTTTCTTTAGATCTCCTTCTCCTTGCTTTAGATCTCCTTCTCCCTGCTTTAGATCTCCTTCTCCTGCTTTAGATCTCCTTCTCCTTCTCCTTCTTTTTCTTCTCTTCTCCTTGCTTTTAGATCTCTTTCTCCTTGCTTTAGATCTCCTTCTCCTGCTTTAGATCTCATTTCCTTGATCTCTCCTTCTCCTTGCTTTAGATCTCCTTCTCTCTGCTTTATTTCTCTTTTTTCCTTGCTTTAGATCTTCTTCTCCTTTCTTTAGATCTCTCTTCTCTTTTCCTGCTTTAGATCTCCTTCTCCTGCTTTAGATCTCCTTCTTCTTCCTTTGTCTCCTTCTCTCTGCTTTCTCCTTCTTTTTTCTGCTTTATCTCCTTCTCTCTGCTTTAGATCTCCTTCTCCTTTGCTTTAGATCTCCTTCTCCCTGCTTTAGATCTCCTTCTCCTTGCTTTAGATCTCCTTCTTCTCTTTATTTCTCTTCTGCTTGCTAGATCTCCTTCTCCCTTCTTTAGATCTCCTTCTCCTTGCTTTAGATCTCCCTTCTCTCTGCTTTATTTTCTCTTGCTTTATCTCCTTCTCACCCCTTTTATTAGATCTCCTTCTCTTGCTTTATTTCTCTTTTCCTTGCTTTAGATCTCCTTCTCTTTTGCTTTAGATCTCCTTCTCTCTGCTAGATCTCCTTCTCACTGCTTTAGATCTCCTTCTCCTGCTTTAGATCTCCTTCTCCTTGCTTTAGATCTCCTTCTCTCTGCTTTTTTTCTCTTTCTCCTCCTTTTTTTAGATCTCCTTCTCCTTGCTTTAGATCTCCTTCTCCTCTGCTTTAGAAATCCTTCTTTTCTCCTTGCTTATTTTTCTCCTTCTCCTTGCTTTAGATCTCTTCTCCTTCTCCTTTGCTTTATTTCTCTTTTTCTTTGCTTTCTTTTTCTCTCCTTCTCCCTGCTTTAGATCTCTCCTTCTCCTTGCTTTAGATCTCCTTCTCCTTGCTTTAGATCTCCTTCTCCTTGCTTTAGATCTCCTTCTTCCTTGCTTTCTCTTCTCCCTTCTCCCTGCATTAGATCTCCTTCTCCTTGCTTTAGATCTCCTTCTCCCTGCTTTAGATCTCCTTCTCCTTGCTTTAGATCTCCTTCTCTCTGCTTTATATCTCTTTTCCTTGCTTTAGATCTCCTTCTCCCTGCTTTAGATCTCCTTCTCCTTGCTTTAGATCTCCTTCTCTCTATTTTTCTTCTCCTCTTTAGATCTCCTTCTCCCTGCTTTAGATCTCCTTCTCCTTGCTTTAGATCTCCTTCTCTCTGCTTTATTCTCCTTCTCTCTTGCTTTAGTTCTCCTTTCTCCTGCTTTAGATCTCCTTCTCCTTTGCTTTAGATCTCCTTCTCCTTGCTTTCCCTTCTCTCTTTTCCTTGCTTTTAGATCTCCTTCTCCTGCTTTAGATCTCCTTCTCCTTGCAATAGATCTCCCTTCTCCTTCTCTCTCCTTTATTTCTTCTCCTTTCTTTAGATCTCCTTCTCCTCTTGCTTTAGATCTCCTTCTCTCTGATCTCCTTCTCCTTGCTCTTTCTTCTCTTCTCTTTTCATTGCTTTAGATCTCCTTCTCCTGCTTTTAGATCTCCTTCTCCTTCTCCTTGCAATCTCCTCTCTTCTTGCTTTATTTCTCCTTCTCTGCTTTATTTCTCTTCTCCTTGCTTTAGATCTCCTTCTCTTTCTTTAGATCTCCTTCTCCTTGCTTTAGATCTCCTTCTCTCTGCTTTATTTCTCTTCTCCTTGCTTTAGATCTTCTCTTTTGTTTTCTCTCCTTCTCCCTTTTAGATCTCCTTCTCCCTGCTTTGATCTCCTTCTCCTTGCTTTAGATCTCCTTCTCCTTTCTTTAGATCTCCTTCTCCTTTCTCCTTCTCTCTGCTTTATTTCTCCTTCTCCTTGCTTTAGATCTCCTTCTCCTTTCTTTAGATCTCCTTCTCCTTGCTTTATTTCTCTTTTCCTTGCTTTAGATCTCCTTCTCCTTGCTTTAGATCTCCTTCTCCTTGCTATAGATCTCCTTCTCTCTGCTTTCTTGCTTTCTCCTTCTCTTTTCTGCTTTAGATCTCCTTCTCCCTGCTTTAGATCTCCTTCTCCTTGCTTTAGATCTCCTTCTCCTTGCTTTAGATCTCCTTCTCCCTGCTTTAGATCTCCTTCTCCTTGCTTTAGATCTCCTTCTCTCTGCTTTATTTCTCTTTTCCTTGCTTTAGATCTCCTTCTCCCTGCTTTTGGATCTCCTTCTCCTGCTTAGATCTCCTTCTCCTTGCTTTAGATCTCCTTCTCCCTGCTTTAGATCTCCTTCTCCTTGCTTTAAATCTCCTTCTCCTCTTTATTTCTCCTTCTCCTTGCTTTAGATCTCCTTCTCCCCTTGCTTTAGATCTCCTTCTCCTTACTTTAGATCTCCTTCTCTCTGCTTTTATTTCTCTCCTTTCCTTTCTTTAGATCTCCTTCTCCTTTCTTTAGATCCTTCTCCTTCTCCCTGCTTTAGATCTGCTTTAGATCTCCTTCTCCTTTGCTTTTTCTCCTTTCCTTGCTTTAGATCTCCTTCTCCCTTGCTTTAGATCTCCTTCTCCTTGCTTTAATCTCCTTCTCCTTGCTTTAGATCTCCTTCTCCTTGCTTTAGATCTCCTTCTCCTTGCTTTAGATCTCCCCCTTCTCCTTCTTTAGATCTCCTTCTCCTTTGCTTTAGATCTCCTTCTCCCTGCTTTATTTCTCTCCTTCTCTCTGCTTTAGTTCTCCTTCTCCTTGCTTTAGATCTCCTTCTCTCTGCTTTAGATCTCCTTTCTCCTGCTTTAGATCTCCTTCTCTCCCTTTAGATCTCCTTCTCCTTGCTATAGATCTCCTTCTCTTTCTTTTCCTTTCCTTCTCCTTGCTTTAGATCTCCTTCTCCTTGCTTTTAGATCTCCTTCTCTCTGCTTTATTTCTCTTTTCCTTGCTTTAGATCTCCTTCTCCCTGCTTTATTTCCTTCTCCTTGCTATAGATCTCCTTCTCTCTGCTTTATTTCTCCTTCTCCTTGCTTTAGATCTCCTTCTCCTTGCTTTAGATCTCCTTCTCCCTGCTTTAGATCTCCTTCTCCCCGTTTTTTAGATCTCCTTCTCCCTTTCTTTAGATCTCTTCTTCTGATTTAGATCTCTCCTTTGCTTTAGATCTCCTTCTCTCTGCTTTTCTGCTTTTCTCTTTTCCTTGCTTTTTAGATCTCCTTCTCCTCTGCTTTATTTCTCCTTCTCCCCTGCTTTAGATCTCCTTCTCCTTTCTTTAGATCTCCTTCTCCTTGCTTTAGATCTCCTTCTCTCTGCTTTATTTCTCCTTTTCCTTGCTTTAGATCTCTCCTTCTCCTTGCTTTAGATCTCCTTCTCTCTGCTTTATTTCTCTTTTCCTTGCTTTAGATCTCCTTCTCCTTGCTTTAGATCTCCTTCTCCCTGCTTTAGATCTCCTTCTCCTTGCTTTAGATCTCCTTCTCCTTGCTTTAGATCTCCTTCTCCTTGCTTTAGATCTCCTTCTCCTGCTTTATTTCTCTTTTCTTCTTTAGATCTCCTTCTCCTGCTTTAGATCTCCTTCTCCTTGCTTTAGATCTCCTTTTTCCCTGCTTTATTTCTCCTTCTCCTTGATCTCCTTCTCCTTGCTTCTCTCCCTGCTTTATTTCTTCTCCTTGCTTTAGATCTCCTTTCTCCTTGCTTTAGATCTCCTTCTCCTGCTTTTTCTCCTTCTCCTTGCTTTATTTCTCCTTCTCCTTCTTGCTTTAGATCTCCTTCTCCTTGCTATAGATCTCCTTCTCCTGCTGCTTTCTTTCTCCTTTCCTCTCTTTTCCCTTTCTCTCTTTTCTCTCCTTCTCTGCTTTAGGTCTCTCCTTCTCCCTGCTTTAGATCTCCTTCTCCTTGCTTTATATCTCCTTCTCTCTGCTTTAGATCTCCTTCTCCTCCTTTGATCTTTATTCCTCTTTAGATCTCCTTCTTTGCAATAGATCTCCTTCTCCTGCTTTATATCTCTTTTTCCTTCCTTTGCTTTTAGATCTCTTCTCCTTGCTTTATTTCTCTTCTCCTTGCTTTAGATCTCCTTCTTTCTTTAGATCTCCTTTCCTTGCTTTAGATCTCCTTCTCTCTGCTTTAGATCTCCTTCTCTCTGCTTTAGATCTCCTTCTCTTGCTTTAGATCTCCTTCTCCTTGCTTTAGATCTCCTTCTCTCTGCTTTATTTCTCCTTCTCCCTGCTTTAGATCTCCTTCTCCCTGCTTTAGATCTCCTTCTCCCCTTTCCTTTCTCCTTCTCCTTGCTTTAGATCTCTTTCTCCTTGCTTTAGATCTCCTTCTCCTTGCTTTGGATCTCCTTCTCCTTGCTTTAGATCTCCTTCTCTCTGCTTTAGATCTCCTTCTCCTTGCTTTTAGATCTCCTTCTCCTTGCTTTTCTCCTTCTCTTCTTTATTTCTCCTCCTTGCTTTAGATCTCCTTCTCCTCTCTTTAAATCTCCTTTGAATCTTTATTCTCCTTCTCCTTGCTTTAGATCTCCTTTCTCTCCTTCTCCTTGATCTCTTCTGTTTCTTTTCCTTGCTTTCTCTTCTCCTTCTCCTGCCTTTAGATCTCCTTCTCCTTGCTTTCTTCCTTCTCCTTCTCTTTGCTTTAGTCTCCTTCTCCTTGCTTTAGATCTCCTTCTCCTTGCTATAGATCTCCTTCTCTCTGCTTTATTTCTCTTTTCCTTGCTTTAGATCTCCTTCTCCTGCTTTAGATCTCCTTCTCCTTGCTTTAGATCTCCTTCTCTCTGCTTTATTTCTCTTTTCCTTTTCCTCCTTCTGCTTTAGATCTCCTTCTCCTGAATTCTTCTCTCCTTCTCTCTTCTTTATTTCTCTTTCTCCTTGCTTTCTCCTTCTCCCTTCTTAGATCTCCTTCTCTCTGCTTTAGATCTCCTTCTCCCTGCTTTTAGATCTCCTTCTCCTTGCTTTAGATCTCCTTCTCCTTGCTTTAGATCTCCCTTCTCTCTGCTTTTTTCTCTTTCCTTGCTTTAGATCTCCTTCTCCCTGCTTTGATCTCCTTCTCCTTGCTTTAGATCTCCTTCTCTCTGCTTTATTTCTCCTTTCCTTGCTATAGATGATCTCCTTCTCCTTGCTTTAGATCTCCTTCTCTCTGCTTTATTTCTCCTTCTCCTTGCTTTAAATCTCCTTCTCCCTGCTTTAGATCTCCTTCTCCTTGCTTTAGATCTCCTTCTCTCTTGCTTTCTCTTTCTCTTTAGATCTCCTTCTCCTTGCTTTAGATCTCCTTCTCCTTGCTTTAGATCTCCTTCTCCTGCTTTAGATCTCCTTCTCCCTGCTTTAAATCTCTTTTCCTTTCTTTGAGATCTCCTCCTTCTCTCCTTCTCTTTGCTTTAGATCTCCTTCTCCTTTTCCTTTAGATCTCCTTCTCCCTGCTTTGTTAGATCTCCTTCTCCCTTCTCCTTGCTTTAGATCTCCTTCTCCTCTGCTCTTTACTTTTTCTCCTTTCCTTGCTTTAGATCTCCTTCTCTCTGCTTTAGATCTCCTTCTCCTTGCTATAGATCTCCTTCTCTCTGCTTTATTTCTCTTTTCCTTGCTTTAGATCTCCTTCTCCCTGCTTTAGATCTCCTTCTCCTTGCTATAGATCTCCTTCTCTCTGCTTTATTTCTCTTTTCCTTGCTTTAGATCTCCTTCTCCCTGCTTTAGATCTCCTTCTCCTTGCTTTAGATCTCCTTCTCCTGCTTTAGATCTCCTTCTCCTTTCGAATCTCCCTTCTTTCTCTTCTCTTTATTTCTCTCCTTCTCTTTCTCCTTTTTATCTTCTCCTTTCCTCTTTTTTTCTCCTTCTCCCTGCTTTAGATCTCCTTCTCCTTGCTTTAGATCTCCTTCTCTCTGCTTTAGATCTCCTTCTCTCTGCTTTAGATCTCCTTCTCCTTGCTTTAGATCTCCTTCTCTCCTTTCCCTATTTCTCTCCTTCTCCC